GAGGGGGGTTTACTCAAGGGAAGGAGGTGTGGTCAAGGTGAAGGACACAGAACAAGATGGAGTCGGCCGGCGTAGGCCCGCCCTTTCAATATATTTAAAATATTATCATTTAAACATTTAATCACTGTACAAATTATTTGGATACTTTATATCCTTTTGTTTTGGGCCCTAAGCTTTTGGAATCCAGTGTGTATTTTAGATTTTCAGCACATCTTAACTTGGACTAGCCACATTTCCAGCGTCCAGTGGACACACGCAGCAGGACAGAGCAGTACCACGCAGGGTGCAGAGGACAGAGCAGGGAACAAAACGGACAAGGTCTCTGTCCTCACATAGGTGACAGTCTAGTATGGGAGACAGAGAAAAACGAAGTAAACAAATCATTTTGGAGAGTGAGGTGTTACTGAGAAAATAATACATGGTATTATAGACTGGGAGGCTGATTTAGTTTGTTTGGGTAGTCAGGAAAGCCTTTCTGAGGCTGAGAACCAAATGAGGAGGCATTAACCATCAATTCTCTGTTGCCACGATAATGCTGTGTAACAAACCACTCCAAAATGCAGACGCTTAACATAGAACTATTTGTTATTGTTCATGAGCCTAAAGTCAGCTGGGCAGTTCACCTGGCCCCAGGTGGGCTCACACACACATCTGTGGGCAGCTGCAGGTCAGGTAGGTGGCCATGCTAATCCTGGCTTGGCTTGCGTGTTTGGGGTCTGCTGGCTGTTGACTGGCATGGATGACCTCAGCTTTTTTCCACGTGGTGTCTCAGCCTTCAGCAGGCTAGCCCAGGCCTGTTCTTATGGCAGAGGCGGAGGTCCACGAAAGAATGTGGGCGCGTTCAAGTTTCCTTAAGACTCAAGCTCAGAACTCTATCACTTCTGCCATGTTCTTTGGGCCAACCCAGATTCTGGGAGGAGCTGCAAAGTCACATTACAAAAGGTGTGCATACAGGGAAGGATGGAAAATTCAGGCGATTTTTGTGATTAATCTCCCAAAGCACTTAAAAGGCTTTCAATTCCACCAGGATGTTATAAAAAAAATTCTAAGTTTGCGTGTGCCCAATAAAATATCCTCAAAGTATAAAAACAAAAATAGAACCCCAGGGAGAAATTGACACAATTACTCTTATACTGGGAGGTTTCAGTGTACCTTTTACTCTTATTGATAGGTCAAGTACACACAAAAAACTAGTGGAGATACAGAAAAGTTGAACACAACTTATGAGCTATTCAGTCAACATTTATAGCCTACTTTCTGTGTGTGAGGTCCTATTCTAAGTGTGCTAGGTGCATGGCAGTGAACAAGTCAACAATCCCTGTCCTCATAGAGTTTATACTCTAGCAGAAGGAAACAAATAATAAACAAGTTAATAAGTAAAGCAAACATGAAGTCTGCCACGAAGAAAAATGACAGGGAAAGGAGAGAGAGAGTGCTGGGCTGGCAGGGTGAGGGATTTAACTTAAATAGCACCTCAGGGTAGGCACTACTGAGGAGACACCTGAGCGGAGGCCTAAAAGAGGTGAGGGAGTGAGTCATGTGCTTATCTCCAGGACTAGTGGAGGGAACAGCAGCTGAGAGGCCTGAAGCAGGAGCAGGTTTGGCAGGTTCTAGTAGACAGAGGCAGGATTGGTAAGATGGAGAGGGATAAGGAGTAGTCAGGGGCCAGATCACCCATGGCTTT